CTTATAGTGAAACTGTTCATACCTGTGGAAATAAATGCAACAGCGGAGGTTGAAAATATGACCAGCTGTTTAAGCCTTTAACATATACAAACTTGTCACTAGAGCCTCAATAGCAACACAATGTTTGTATCACCATGAGCTAAGAGAGATATAAATGATCCAAATGAGGAAACCAGCTGATTTGCATTAAACAAGCATTGTTTTTCTTCTTCTGCCTGAAGTTTTAATTACAGTTTTCTTTATCTGCCATGTGTTTGGTTATGTCACTAGAGTAGGCACAATCACAGCAAAAAAGTTACTGGTGGGCCTCTGTTGGCAAGTTCTTACGTAGAAATTAATGCCACAATGCTTTGCAGATAAGCAGGTTTTGAAGTGGATCAGGAGGCATAAATTGGGCCAATACCATCACATCTATATAAGGAGTGGTTTTTTTTATATTTTCTACAAATTCACTAATGTGGTAGCTTTCAGATACAGGTATAAAGGAACTATTACAGTTAATAACATCACTACAAAAAGTCTGAACTATTCTTTAGGATTTGACTAAGCAATCTCAACACAATGTCCTTTTGGCAGGTTTTCTGACAAAAATGTATTTTATTGTTTAATCATCACCAGACCATCACTGCTGCTATTTAATCCAGCCAGATGAGAACAAGCTGTTGCTCTTTAAACCTTGTGATGAGATTGCTAATAAAACTGGCACAGATAGAAAGATGAACTCAATCATTAACAGAGCTGTGTGTGTACATGTGTGCGCGTTGTTCTGTGTGCATGAATGCAAGCTCTTATAAGTTTAACTAAAATATGAACTTGTTTCATTTCATGTGTATAATGTAATTTTTACAAGTGGAAAAAAAAAACCTGCCATGTGTATCATTGTTCTTATTGAAATCCTAATTCTAAATGAATAATAAATTTTTGTTGTTGTGGTTGATCAAACAATCACACAACTGAGCTCTTCTTTCTTGAATGATGTGTTAACTCTGACATGACATATTTGACACAGCTTTTTTGTTGGCAATATTTTGTTTGCTTAGCATGCAAACAATATACAATATTTTATACCAAGAGAATTTATAGTCCTTCAACTCATAAGGATCAGGCAGAGGGAAGAAAGCCAGAGTGGTCAAACAAAGAAGGTCTTGAACATTTTGTGCAGATGGGAAGCACTGCATTAAAATTAATATTCACATTTGATGTATTTACCATTTTAAAGTATAAAAATTCCCTTCTCACCCTCCGCGGGTGGTCTCTTTCATCCTCTGAGCTCGGATCCTCTACCAGAGGCCTGGGAGCTTGAGGGTTCTGCGCAGTATCTTGGCTGTGCCTAGAACTGCACATTTCTGGACTGAGATGTCTGATGTTGTTCCTGGGATCTGTTTTAGCCACTGCTCCAGTTTGGGGGTGACTGCCCCGAGGGCCCCGATGACCACAGGCACCACTGTGGTCTTCACCTTCCAGGCCTTCCTTCTCCAGTTCCTCTCTGAGGCCCTGGTATTTCTCCAGTTTCTCATGCTCCTTTTTCCTGATGTTGTAGTCACTTGGTATATATATATATATATATATATATATATATATATATATATATATATATATATATATATATATATATATATATATATATATATCAGTAAGTATTTCTTGTTATTGTTCAAACATTTATGCTTTCAATAAAAAATAAAAATATTCCTTTCACTTAATGTGGAAACATCTTATTTATTTGCATTGTTCATGTCCATCAGAATTATATCCTTAATGAAACATTTTAACCGTTAAAGGTGAATATGAAGTAAGAGATTAACATTTTACCTTTTATACTCTAGTACTTAGAGAATGTCTAAATCTAATATGCTAAACTGGAAAGATAACATTTTTATAACGGGTCGTCAACGATTTAAGGGAGCAAAAGTATTGAAAAATGTGGGAGAAGTGTTTATTACTCAAGTAATAAGGATGAAATGTTAATGTCTTATTTCATGTTAATCACGTGATGTCAAGCTCAAATGCTTTTGAGCTTGACAAAAAGCTCAAAAGTTATGAAGGATAACTTTTGAGCCTTGTCCTTCTTAGACTTAGATAAGAAAGATGAACTCAATCATTAACAGAGCTGTGTGTGTGTGTGTGTGCGCGCGCGCGTTGTTCTGTGTGCATGAAAGCAAGCTCTTATAAGTTTATCTTAGATACTGGTGATTTACTGGTGATTGTACTGGAGATCAGTAGGAGGGCAAATAATGTTTACATCATTACATACATCTAACTACTAAGCTAAAAGTAATTTTTTAGAGTAAATGTTGAATAATAAAGTCAACAATATATGAATTTGTTGTAGTAGCAGCTACAACAAATTAAACTGGGGAATAATAAAAGTGACATTTTCTTCTGTCATATGGAGACCAAGGATTTTACAGCAAAAGGCTGCAACCTTACACCACCCTCAAAATCACATAACCACATATGAACAATAACAAAACATCTGCCTAGCAGAAAATGAGAGCCGCCAATCTCAGTCAGCTGTTTTGAGCCTTGATCCTAAATGAATCCATGCGCGGCTGAACTGATCTCTTTACGTCACTGAAGAGAGGAGAGGAAAATGCAAGAGACAGGGGGGGTTGGTTTGTCTGATCTGATCATAAAGTGACGGTGGGAGGGATGTTAGAGAGGATGCAAGTGTTTGGGTATTATGTCAAATGAACAATGCCATTGGCTGCTGCATATCCGAAGTGCCATCTGTCCCAGCCGGTCAGTGCAAATGTAGCTGCAATTTGGAGTCAAGAGAGAGAGAGCTGGAGGAAGTATGCAAAGTAACATTCAATAATTTACATTATTATTGAAAAGTACGTTTTATTTAGTACATCAGTACTAAATATGTATCTATGTTAGACACATATGCACAATTTTAAAGCCTTCATTTTTGTCACTTATAATTTCCGTTTACAGCTACATCAGACCAAATTACAGAATCAGGGGTTTAATGAAAACCATACCTGACTTAGAGTTGCTTTGACAAATGAACCTCATGATATTTAGTTTTTTTTATTTTTTATAACTGTACATGTACGCTTAATAAAGAGGGGGGGAAATAAAGAACGGACTTTTTCTTTTATAGACAAACATCATTAGATTAGCTCAGACATCTGAAAAGTTGTCAGTGTGAGAAAGTAAGCTTGTAGCTGAAATAAGTTATTTTATTTCAGTCAGTATGTGTTTATAACATTGTAATGAGCTGCAAACAGTTGTGTTTTTCCTGCGAATAATGGGTCTACTAAATTACATCTTTAAAAGTGAGAAATATTCTCTCCCTATACAATAAATCCTCATGTTTGTTGTGTTCTTTCTCATATTAAGCAGAGGTCCATTAATGGAAAAAGCTTGAAAGTAGTTTTTTTACTCAAGAAAAGAACATTTTACACACATTTTGTACAAGTCACAAGTGATAAGTCAAACAAAATTTTACTTAAAATTCATTCCATACTTGTTTTACTGCAATAGCATGGGAGGTTTTGGCAAAAGGAAGACAAACATAAAATGTTTCAATAGAACCACAGCTAGAAGTTTTATGTATACGTTCTATGAGACAAATATCTAGAGAAATACTACACTATGAAAAGAACACGTACACACCCTAGTCAAGACATTCATTTAAAATCATTTTTATGAAGCTGGCTTTCTTCTATCAATATGTCTAAAAACTGAAACCAGCTAACAGAACCCCACAGAAGAAGTTTATTCCCATCCATGTCAATCATCAAAGAAGCAAATTCATCATTCAAATTAAACCGGCTCATAAATGATGATGAGCGATATATACAGACATTAGAATATACACACGCGTACATTTTCTATACTATTGCAAATCCTTGAAATACACTGGTGACCCAACAGTCATCTTTCACATCTTTCCAACAACCTCCTTGGCCTAGAATGGAGAAAGAGAGAATTAAAACCAAACCATGAAACAGTTTTATTATTTGCTTGTTTGTTTCTGCATTACTAGCCTGAATTAAAGATGTGATTAAAATAGTAAATAAAATTACCCAAGGTAATGCGGTATTAATCTATTATTATTATTATTATTATTATTATTATTATTATTATTATTATTATTATTATTATTATTATTATTATTATTGTGAAGAATGTTGTAGCTTTTCAAAATGAATAAAGGAAGAAATAAAAGTTGGCTTTTTGAAAAACCAAAAGACTTTATTTATATTTTAAATGGGATAAATAAAATCCTATTTATTCTTCATATAAACAGGAGCTTATATGAAGATCCTATTGAGTTTCAGAAAAAGCCATAACATTATGGCCGCCAACAGGTAAACAGTAAAGAGAAAGTGAAATATTATACTATATTAACTGAAGAGAGCAGAGGAAAATGCCATCTTGTGGCTTTTGGAGATGGTAATTGGACATTGATCCCCAACTAAAGCATTTGAAAATGTTTTCTGAAGAGCAACCTAATCACATTAGTTATCATGTCCTAAACATGTCCTTACTTTGACTCATCAGTAGAGAGATATGCTGGAAACTAATCAAGGAAAACTGGAGTTGCTAAACTTAAATTTTGCAAAACTTAAATATACTTAAAACACAATAAAATTCAAAGTTCCCTCTGACTCCATTTTTGGCTTGACAGGTATATAGCTCTGGAAAAAAAAAATTAAGAGATCACTTAAAATAATCAGTTTCTTGATTTTACTTTTTTATAGGTACATGTTTGAGTAAAACAAGCATTTTTCTTTTATTCCATGAACTACAAACAACATGTCTCAGAAATTCCAATTTAGTATTTATTTGCAGAAAATGAGAAATGGTCAAAATAACAAAAATGATGTGGTGCTTTCAGACCTAAAATAATGCAAAGAAAACAAGTTCATGTTCTTTTAGAAACATAAATACTAATGTTTTAACTCAGGAAGAGTTCAGTATTCAATCTTTGGTGGAATAACCAGGAGGTTTTCAGTGGGATTCAGTGCAATGGACTCTCCATTTTTTTTCCAGAGCTGTATTCAGACTAGTGAAAATTTAATTTTTACCCGTGAATAGAATAGCCTGACCTAAACAATTTCAGAATTGCATAATTGAATTGTGAAATATTGCAGCTGCCCCTAAAAGATTTCAACTTAATACTTAATCAGTTTCCTAAATAAAAGCATGATTTAATATAATTTATTTGACTTTGTTCTTTTTTTTTTTTTTTACATCTGATGCTTTTGAAAATCTTATAATTTTTTGCAATGCTTTTGCAAAAATTCTAACTTCACAAACATCTAAATTATACATCTGTGTATTCAGGGAGGGATTTTGGTTACAAGTTGACATGTTTAATGTCAACTTGTATGTTTAATTCAATATAGTTCAGCGGTAAGTCTGCTCTGATCAGCTCTGCCTTTACGCAATCTGTCTTCAGACCTCCTCCTCACCTTTCTGTCTTCATTGAAATCTTTATTGACCAGCTCCTCATCACTGGCGGCCTGCAGGCTGTCAAAAGTGCCATGTCTTTCCTGTTCCATCCCAGACGAGTTGCTTTCTCTCTGCCGTCTCTTCCACGACTCTACGATGACCTCATAGCAGGGAATTCGAGTGTCGGTGGTGCAGACGTACATGCCTATCGGCACGGCCAGCACCATTGCTAAAACTATCACCACTATGTGGATTAGCTTCTCCCTTTGCTCCATCTCTGTGATGTCAGTTCCTGTCACAAACACAATGCACTGGCCTGGACGTGGCATCTGGCTCTTTAGAGTCACACAGATCTCGTATTTGGTGGCAGGAATCAGATCTGAAATGGAGTAGGAGTGAATTCCAGGTCCAATGTAGGTCATTTCTTTTTTGTCATCACCAGCTTGACCAAAGTGAATGGTGAACCATGTTTCGGAGGGCCGTTCTAGGGCGGCGAACCACTCAATAGAGATGCCACGCACTGTCTGCTTGGCGATGCGAATGTCAATGAAAACATTTTGATCAGCAACCCCCGATGCAGCTGGGAAGCCTGCGACGTGAGACGGCGAGGCGCTGTCAGCAGAGATGACATCCAGGAGGACGCTCGCCGAGGAGTTCCCAATGAAGTTCACGGCAGTGCAGGTGTAGACCCCACGGTCTGCTGCACTAAGAGAAGGAATCACCAGATGGGATCTGATGGTGTCATCGGAAACTCTTTCTTGGGACTCTGAGAAAACAACAAAATAATATATATGTGTAGTTACTTAACATTACTGCAGGGCAAAAATATTCTATAATACATTCAAAATGATTTAAAGATTCATTTGAAAATTCATGAAGCGATCTTCTTCTCTAGGATTCCATTAAAGTGAAAGGCCCAAATTTAAAAATCAATCGGAAATTATATTAAATAATGTAGCTGAATTTTAAACTCTAAAAATTCTTGAATGTAGCTTGTGCAACAAAAATATACTTTTCCACATTTCATCTGTTTGATTTTAAATCAGATGTAGTTTTAAATTTATATTTGTGCCTTCCTATAATTACTCGCGTGAAATGTAAATGGATTGATGGTGATGCTATTCATCATTTGCTTGACCATTATGAAAACGGCTGCAAATGACAACAGGTATGTTATAATTTGATTAATAAACAATAGCTTTATTCCTAATGAAGATAAGATATGCTTTAAATGTTTTTAGCAATATTTCCCTTTGCTTGGGGAGGGCAACTAGGCAACTAAGGCAGGGTTAGTTGCTTATTGGATGCAGAACATGCTGCTGCTCAGCTCTTGTCTTATGTTGAGGGTCTGATTTTCTTTTGGTAGGTTAGTTTAAATAAAGCAACATGGCCAAATAATGCTACTGCAGATACTTATGTTGATACAGTAAGAGTGTTTATGTTGTATCAGTAAAATTGATAAACTAAGAAACCTCTATAGTTAAAGAAAATTAATGTGAAATTCTAATTTTCATGTTTGACACCATTTTAGAAAAGTCAACAGCATCTATAATTAAAAATCTACAATCTTCTATTATTATGCTAAAAGTTATGAATATGAGGTCACCCATGGAACTTAGACTGCAACCACCTATTTCTATGTAACACAGCAAAATTTCATGCTATTGCAATTGTTTAAGTAGTAGTGCTTAGAATCAAATGTTGGGAGGGGCATCCACTCATAATCTCAGCTGGCGGATCAAAGTGGCAAGGATCAGCTCATCGAATAAAGATGTGTGAGTTCCTCATAGTAAATGTATCTCTTGTGGTAGTTGCATAATTTGTTACATTGGAGAATGTTGCAGTTCTCCAGCAGAGAGCTTTGGAGATCAGCCAATCAAACAATGAAAATATAACAATGCACTGGACGCAGATTCTTATTTAAAGTCTTGGACAGCAGGAATCTTTCCATTCTAAAGGTCAAGTGAAATGAGCTTTACTCTGTAACACCATGACCCGACATTATTATGTAAACAGCTGCACTTCAATCTCCAACATTTTAAATGAATGGCGATGTAGAGCGGTCTCACAGCATGGCGCTTATTATTATAAATAGCAAATATCTTCCTGGCATAAACATGATATGTTTGCGATTAAAATGTAAGTTTAAGTAATCTAATTTCACACAATTTTATCGCCTTAGCTGCAGTGTAGCTGACAGTCCATCACACTCTTACCATGAAATCCTCTGATTATCTTCAGACCATATGTCCACCACACAGTAGGGTCCGGCCTCGCCTTGGCGTAGCAGTGCAGGGTGAGGTTGGATCCCAGAGGCAGGCTCATGTTCGCCTTCGGCGTGCTGACCACTGGCTTTGTGCACGCCTGCAGCTCGATCTCGTGGAAGAACTTGCCCGCCCTAAAGTCCGGCCCTGAGCAGGTCAGGTAAGAGTTCATCAGTATGATCGGAGGACTCAAGGAAGCGATGAACTCCACGAGGCCCTTCAGGCGGCAGTCGCAAAGCCAGGCGTTGTCGTGCAGCGCCAGGACGACGTTCGTCCTGGACGCGGTGACGTCCCGCTCCTCTGCATTTTGTATTTTCTGGTAAAGAGGCCAATTCTGGAAGACTTCCTTCGATATGACCGTGAGCTGGTTGAAGGATAAATCTAAATATGTGAGCCCTGGTAGAAATTTGAGGGCGTGCTCCGGGAGGACGTCCAGCTGGTTGTGCTTCAGGTCCAGGATCTTGAGGTTCGGCGTGTCCTCGAACGCTGTCCATGGTACTGATCGCAGCTTGTTCCCCTGCAGACGGAGCTCGGTTAGGTTCCCCAAACCCTCCAGACCTTTTGAGTTTATAACTGTGATGTCGTTAAAGTTCAGCCACAGGTTTTCCACTGCGGGTGTTTTGGAAAAAGCTCCCCTGGGGATTTCAGTGAAGTGAGATTTTTCTATCCGTATTTTGGTCAAATCGTCTGGAAGGTTGTCGGGAATGGCCCCGAAGGCGCTTTCTTCCATACATATGAGTGACCTGCGGAAAAGCGTATTTGATCAACTAAAATTGGTTTTAAATGACTGAATGTCACTAGATTACCACTGGTAGAGCATTCCTATTCATCTCTGACTTTTTTTTTTTTTTTTTTGGCAAAACTCGTCTAGAAATCCCAGACCCACTTACGGAGACAGATAAGCACATCAAAAAAATAGCAAGACGGCGCCAAATGAAATCCGGTCTTACCTTCCATGACGGTCATCAATACAGCTGCACCCACTTAAACATCGAGGATAACTTCTACATGGTTCAGCTTTTATTAACATTACAACCAGAAGGTAAATCATTGTGTCCATAGTCCGTGACGAAGTCTGAGGTTTGTATGCGTGGTAAAGAGATGCCCATGGCAGTAAACAACAGAAGCCTATTAAACTTAATCCCTGACATGTTCAGGAAGAAGGAAGGTCTAATTCTTGGGTATCAGCTTTGGCATCAGCTCAGTCTTGTAGGTCAGGGAAAGTACAACTGCAAGGAATTGTATAGAAATTAGCTATACTCCATAGTACAGAAATATAATTGTTTGTTGATAAGTGCGCAAGCCTATTTTTCTCTAAATCTACATTGGAACTTTCCCACATTTTGTCACATTAAAGTATTGGGGAATATTGGTTGCTATCTTCTTTTATGGAAGAACGATCACTTTCAGACATTTTTATAAATAAAATGCCGAAAAATGAGGCATTCTTTTCAGTTTGGCCACTTTTCCTCTGATTCCCCTAAATAAAATTCAATGGAACCAACTGCCTATGGATTTCACCAAATGTGTAATTTAATTTTTGTATAATTTCACCTGTTCTGTAAAGGCCTCAGAGGTTTGTTTAAGAACATTTGTGAACAAACACCAACGTGAAGATCAAGAAATACAATAAAAAGTCCAGGGATAACATTTGGTGACATTTAAAGCCAGACTACGTTATAAAAACAATAACAAAAACCTCATGTACCATCATGAGATATGGGTTACAACCAAAAGAAAAATAAATCTTTTCAGTAAAAAGTGGTAGCAGCGTGATTTGGGTATGCTTTTCTTCATCAGAGTTGATGGAAAAATTAATTCAGGTCACCACTAAAAGGAAATCTGAGGGTCAAAAGTTGGTACATTTTGAGCAATGAGAACATACAAGACAGTATAAAAATATGCTGAGCTGAAATATGTTAAAAAATATAATATAATTGTACTGAGGTTAAGTAACTCACTAGTATGAACACACAATATCAGGTAAATATATATATAAAAGTTTATTTAATCATCTTTAAATGTGCGGTATGATCGGAATGAAAAGATCTACATTAAATGAGGGTAGTGATGCCTCTAGCTGGCATTGAATGGATACATAGATTTTTTATTATTATTATTATTATTATTATTATTATTATTATTATTATTATTATTATTATTATTATTATTATTATTATTATTATTATTTATTTATTTTTTTTATTACATTTCTCATTGCTGGGGAATAAAAGTGATTTAACTTTTCATTTCCATCTTATTTACATTGTGTCATAGTTCAGTCCTTTCTGTACTTCTCTCCAGCTCCAGCTGCCCTCCATTCACCAGTGTTGAACCATGCCTATGTGTATATCTTCTCTGAACTAATGACAGATATATACAGAGGCACAGAATTAACTGTATATGTAAGTGTACACGGTTCAGTCAATATTTACAAATCATACACATACATATATTATGTACAATGGAGTGTGTACCATTGTGTTCCCTTTAAATCAGGTTAGATTGAGAAGGTTTTATCACTGGGTCGTGCAAGTAGCTTTAAATGTTACGTCTTTTTTTTTTTTTCTTACAGACTTTATGATGCAAACATTCTTCTACACGCAAAAGCAAGTCTTGCCAGTAATGGATGTTTGGATGCACAGCAGAGCATCTGCAAGAAGGACAGGCTTTTCCAGAACGTTCCAATTTTTTTTTTCTTTTTTAAACTGAGATTTCCATTATTGTGCAACGTGCAAAAGTCCTTTGATAGAAGTTGGGTCTCTGTGGCGGTGGAGTTGGTGGCAGTATCCAGCGAGGAGGGACCGGTGGAGGGGAATCCCATGGTGTGGGCGTATGGGAGCGTGTGGCAGGAGGACTGACGTCAGGATGTTGTGTGGGGTGAATGTAAGGATTGTGCTGGGGATATGGGTGGGGGTGAAAGTGTGGGCGGTGATGAGAATGGTGCAGGTGGGCATTGGGCTTCAGATTGCTATGCGGATGTGGGTGTGGGTGAGTGCGCGGAAGATGGCGTGGAGCGGGAGCCAGAGCTGGAGCATGACGTCAGCAGAAGTACTCGTTAGGTTGTCCCTCGATCTTTGCCGTTGACTCGGAGTCCAGGCTGGAGCGGGCTGACAGCAGTCTGTTGGACTCCTCTTGATTCAGTCTGTTTAAGTACTCACCCTCAAGCCCTTTGGCCTTTGTGCCAGGGGACAGTGTTTCAAAAGTCACATATGAGTCTTGAATGTCTTTGGATTTCTTCCCCCAGTACTTTTTAATGCGCCTCTTCAGCGCCCCACAGCACACAATGACAGTGAGGGGCACCGCAATGACACAGGCCACGGTGATCACAATCACATTGATCAGCTTCTGGGTGCCAGTTGCACTAGCTGCTTCATCAGTGGAAAATATCACACACTGTTCTTTCTTGGGAATCAGCCCCTTCACGCACACACAGGCAATATACTTGGTCCTGGGCACCAACCCGTCTATAGTTACACGGGTTTGTCCCGCTCCAACGTTGATCTTTCTCATGTCCCGCTCCCCAAACACAGCATACAGCACACTGAAGGCAGTCGTGTTCTTTGCTTTAGGTGCTCTCCAGTTCAGAGATATTGTATTGTCTGTGTCACCCACCACCTTCACAGAGCGGACCACCCTGTCTGGGTCCTGCTGCAGGGACGAAGTGTTCGCCGCCAGGTTGCTGAGATTTGTCTTCTCCAGATCCAGTAGTGCATCTGAGTTGGGGGAGGCGGAGGGATCCTGGGTGGCTCCATCAGTTAGGCTGTAGCTGACCTGTTCGGAGTCAGCAGGTAACATGTCAGAATCCATAGCAGCCAAAGCTGATGAGGTGGAAGTTGGAACTACGTATCTGGCCACCAGTTTCTCCTGGTAGGCTGCTTTACCCACTGGATTTGGCTTCTTGACTTTGACCTTCTTGTCGGTGTTTGTCTGGTTCCCTTCTGGTCTTGGTGTGTTAGAGACAACCAGGGAAATGACAGCCTCTGCGTTCCCTGCATAGTTTGATGCCTTGCAGATGAATTTCCCTGAATCGCGGTAGGACACAGCTGGGACGCTGAGGATGGACCAGGTGATTCCTTCTTTAGATGTTTCTTGTTGTACTGTGGTAGAAGAGAGATATGAATATACTTTATTATTGCAATTATGAAAGCAAAACAACATTTTAGAATTGCAAAAAATCTAATAGGAACCTGAATCTGAGAGAAGATCTCTGCTAATATAAAGAAAATAATGCCAGGCAGTTGATTACACAATATTTATTCATCAATTGCCATCTATGTTGTGTAACTGCCTGTAAAGACTGCAGCTGTCAATCAGACTAACAATCCAACTGGATCTAGTAGTGGCTCTCTGTTTAATTAACAACAAGACCACAGAGTATAAAAATCCTCCTAACGCATGTACAATGCACAGAGAGACCCTGTGGTGGTAGCTGATATGACTCACATGGTTGCTTGCCCAGGAATACCTGTAGCTGGGCGACATAAACCAAATGCAAAAAAATAAAAAATAAATAAAAATAAAGGTATCGCTCAGTTCCGAATCAGAAACTGTTTATTGGCAGCCATGAGTCTTGAATGTCTTTGGCTTTCTTTCCCCAGTGCTTTTTATTGAGCCTCAGTGTCCCACAGCGCAAAATGGCGGTTGATATCAAGTTTGAAACTGGAAATTAAAAGGGCTATCTGAAACACTTTGATCAAACTTGGACCAGGTTACTGAGATTCATTACAACTATTGTGATACAGTAAATCTCCAACCCGTGTATGAAGTACTGTAGATTAATTGGTGATTTGTAAAACCTTTACTCTATTTGTAAATTATAGAATTAGTGGTGAAAAGGAAGAGTTCGATCTGGGCACTGTTGATGTAAGAGTTGCCGCTGATAAGACTAAATACTAGCTAACCTGTTCCATTAAGCATTTGTCCATCAGCCCTGCGCCATGTCAGATCTGGCACCGGTACTCCAATGGTCCCACAGCGAAGGAGAACATTGTTCCCAACCGCACTCCGGACTCGTGCCACTGCCGTGTGGATGCGTGGGAGCTGACACTGACGCAGCTCCGCATCGCTGAACAAGACCCCTGAGAAACTCTCTGGTGCCGAACAGCGGAGTCTTGTGTCAATAAATGCCACGGAAAGCGTGGGGGACTTCTGGAACTGGACCAGGTCATAGAGTCGGCAATCGCACACCCAGGGGTTGTCATGGAGACCTGTGGATGGAGAGAAACAGGCAAAACTTGAGGAGGAGACAGAAAAGTGCGGCTGTGTGCAAAGTAAAAGAGCGGCCTGCAGATGGCTGATTGTGATGCTATGATGATAATCCTGTAAGAGGATTTACATTTAATTCAGAAACTACATGATTATGGCAATAATGACAACATAGATGATGATGATGATGATGATGATGATGATGATGATGATGATGTGTAAGATATTGAAACAGTAAAGTGTGCTAACATTTTGTTGCTCTAATTTCTTTTACGGTCTGTATATTTTTGAGTTTTAAGTTTAAACTCTCAGTACAGATCATGGGCTGTTATGCACGCATGTATTTGAAGAAGTATTTTCACCTTTTCATTTAGTAAGCAAACTGATGGTGCCACAAAAGATGTTAAAACAGTTGAATGATTCTTAAAAATGCCTTATTTGTCAATACACGGTTTGCACCGGCTAAAGTGAAAGACTAACCTTTTTGTTAGATAGGTGCATTTAGGTGTTACTGCAGTCTTGAAGTTGTTGTGCACATTTTACAAAAAATAAAAAATTAATAAAAAAATACAGAGAGAGATTATTCAGAATTAAGCAGGATATATTTTTTTTTAAATAAATCAAGGTCAGGACTGAGATTATGTGCCGCTTAAAAATATTTTTGTTTGGCCAGCCGCCATCAAAGAGCAACTCTCCATTATGCACAGCAGATAAAATGAAGTGAGCAAAATACACTACTGAGGTATGAGTGTGTCGGAGGGTGGGCATGCGCATGTGACATTTACTTATATCCTTGTTTGCATCTTTTAATGGTAGTAAATGAGATCCTATTACTCCCAAAAAATTGTATTATGGTTTTTAAATTGGATGTTCCACCCCAGGACCATCGAGTTCATAAACCTCCTGGAGATGCCCGTGTGTCCCTTCTTACCAAGTATCATCTTGGAGCTCTCGGGGCCCTGCACGGGCTTCGCAGCCAGCCAGTTGGTCAGCACCTCGATCGGCAGGGTCAGCAAACTGTTGCTGGACAGGTCCAGGTAGGTGAGGTTCTTGATATACGTGGTGGCTTCCGCGGGCAGCGAGGTGAGCTGGTTGTTGTGCAAATCGAGAAGTCTGAGGCTGGGCATGTCCAGGAGAGACTCCCAGGGAAAGGCAGTGAGGGCATTCCCGTCCAGACGAAGCTCTTCCAGGTTGAACAGTCCCCGAAAGCTTTCCGGGCTCAGATCCGACAGGGTGTTGAAAGACATCCAGAGGAATTCCAGACTGGAGAGGTAGCTGAAGGCTTCGCTTGGGATTTGCTGGATGGCTGTTTTCTCGATCCGCAGTTTGGATGTGTCAACAGGGAACCCGACTGGCACAAGCGATATGTCGGGATCATTGCATATCACGCTTCTGAAAAGGGCAAACCAATATTCATAAATTATATGACAGGCAGGATAAAAATGTTTTATTAATTGTTAATCTAATAAAACTGGATGACAGCTTATGAATTCAGTCACGTCCAAAGGACGCACTCAGAAGAGGTAAGGAAAAAATAAAATTAAAAATAAAAGAAAACAACGTGGAAAATATTGTCGAGAAATATTGCAAAGAATGCTTTTAACAGATAATCTTGTGAAAGATCAAATTTGATTGAGATGAAGTCTAATTTTTCACTGTTTGTACACATGTTCACAGTTCACCTCTATTGAAGCATCTGTCCTCAGTTTTAGCTCTAATCATCCGAAGAGATGCACCCGTGCGCATAAACCACGCAGGGTCGGTTACATAGTTTGTTCTGTAGTTTCCTTACCTAGCCTTGGATCCGTCACTCAAGTTATGGTAAAAACAGCTGCACTGCGAAGGGCAGGAGCTCACTGGGGAGGGAAGCTCCAGCGTGGCCACGCAGAGCCCCAGGAGCAGGACGCGGAACATCTTGGCCCACTTTTACGCATACGCAGTGTGCCTGTGCGCCCACTTTGCGCCTCACTCAAATTTAAACAGACTTACTTTTTCTCTCTCTCATGTAAAGGACTATCGCCTGCATGGCTTTGTTCCACCGCTTTGCTGTCCCATAGTGATCTGACTGATGTGAGTCCCGAGATAAAAAGGATAGAGTGGGATTAGAGGAAGAACTGGCGTTCGTTTCATTTTGATGCGTATAGCATCCCGGAATCTGATAGGCTGCGCGGAGACGTCCCTATTTATCATCAGTGAAAAAAAACACTTCCGAAACGGTCATAATCCACTGGGATGTTTTTTTTTTCTCTCCACTGAATTGTTGGCTGTCCATTTCAGCTTTACTGTGACAGCTAAGATGTGAGCGAACATATCTTTGTTTTACCACAAGGTGGCTCTGCTGTTGAACGGTTTTTAAAACACGTTCACTGGTCCTGCCAAGAGACCTGAAGGCTTTCCTATGACAGTTTTAAGGTATGTGTAAATGTATATAAAATGTGCTGTACCAAAAATTTCCAAGGATCAAATAAAATCACAATTAGTATAATGTGAATCCATAGAAACTTTTTTTCTGATAATTCCATTATGAGAAGAGTAAAACATAATTACAAGAAGAGATAAAGGAAGATTGGCAGACCTTTTTTTCCTGGAGTCAAAGCTTTGATTGTTATATGATATTTTTTGTGATTCACTTTGACTTAGTAAAATTTTATGAAAAGAGTCGAGTTTGCAACTCTGCACATGAACCGACATTGGCATATTTGTGAATAATCCTGAGTCAAACTGACATAAGTTGGAGCATTATGACCCAAATTCTAGCTGAGAGGCTTATGGAAGAGAAGAGATCAAGCTGCAAACAAACTAAATTATTAAACTGTAAAGGTTCTGCAATTGCTGGACAGAAAAATACAAAAAAAACAGTTATTTAGTGACACACAATTACTTCAAGAAGCTCAAAGGATCCTCTGAAGAGCACCAACGCAGCCCACATAACATGTTTTGTAATTTATCAGCATGATGCAGATCTACCATATTCATCATGAAGCATCACTTTTACTGTTTACAGTTTACAGTTTACAGTAAAATGTGCTAGCAGATTAATGTCTTATAGGGTTTGTGCAACTCAAGTTTAAAACTTTTTTTAAAAAAGATTTGTCCTAATCTTTTGTATTAATCTTTGTTAGTATCATGTGATGTATAATATCATGTGACTGAACACTTCATATTTCCACCTATACTTCACCAGCATTTTTTTCATGTAATCCTCAGAGCAGCACAATGTCATGCTTGTTTCCCCTCAGCCCATTGGCACGAAAATCTGCAGATGCTTTTAACAACTAACAAATTGTAAGCTATTTGCTCTCTTGTAGGTTTGGGATGATTCAAACACTTTATGCAATTTACACTGTTTTTAACCAGCTATTTTTTGAGCCATGTTTTAGTCACAGCTACAATGCATCCTGTCTTCCTGTCTGCCGGGGTCACAGCAGAGGAACTTCAGCTTGAGTAAAGCTTTGGTTAAAACATCTGCGGGTTGAAAAAAATCATTTAGTTTTATCCTCTAACATTGTAAACAAATACACAGCGGGCTTAATCCCTTAAAGGTCAATGTGTCTGTCAAAAGTTGAAGCTGCACGAAAAGATGGCTGACCGTTTCAGAGGGCCCTGCAAGTCAGATCAAGGATTAAGGAGGATACAAAACGGCATCTCCAGTGCACTCTGTTGCTAGTTCACTGAAATTGCTTTGGGTCAATAATGTTCAAAAATTGTTCGGACGTGCAAACTTGATAGACACACACCTCAACGGTTTGGCAACTGTTACCGCAGAGGAAGGATCTGCACAGTATTGGCTAAGGGAAGTCAAATGCAAATACTCTCGGAATTGTTGCTGTAAACGTGCAGATTTGACTTTGATTGGTGACCGCATCCTCACGGACACCTGTTGAGAAGGGCCGACATCAAACCCATTTTCTCAGCGGCAGCGGCTGCATCATCATCGGGACAGCAACGCACAAAGGCTTGTTGTGTAACTCACTGAGGGCTTTATTGTTGCGACGGGAGCAAACGCGCATTAAGCGCTACGGTTTGCGCGGTTATGTTCATTAAGACATTCCTGTGCGGATTGGGGCGACAGACCGAGAGCGAGAGGGAGTGAGAAAGGGAGAGGGTGGGGGGCTTTACATAATAAACGGCATGCTTTTCACTTGAAATGTCCCTTTATAAGCGGACCCTGTACAGTCACACCGAGGCGAACTGTAAACGAGCGGATTGAGCGGACAGGAAACATCCAGCGTCAAATCGCAGCCAGGATGGTCACGCCGTACCCTTTGCCGGAGGGTTTCTCCGAGTTCGATGTGTTCTCGCTGGGATCTTGTCTGCTGGTGGAGGGTGAGTGTTTTCTCTGGGAATCCGTCCAGACGTCAAAAGTGCCCACGATGCTCCACATTAACCTACGCCAGGACCTGTCACCTCTCGGACACTGATCCCATGTAGTGTCAGCGCGTTATTTCTGTCATTTCTGAAAGCTACAACCTCTGGTGGTGTGTAAACAAACAAATGGATGCAATTCATCTGACATGGTGCCGCTGTGTTTGCCTGTGTCGTAATAACCGACGATGTGCGCACTGGCTTTAAATACATAAGGCTGTGAACATTTCTTTTCCGCTCTGTCAAAAGGTCTGCTGGGCTTCCTTCTAAACGCGGTGACAATCGTGGCTTTCCTCAAAGTGAGAGAGCTCAGGACCCCCAGCAATTTCCTGGTGTTCAGTTTAGCCATGGCTGACATCGGCATCTGCATGAACGCCACCATCGCAGCTTTTTCCAGCTTTCTGAGGTAAGTTATGTAAGCCTGGTTCTCATAATTGCAAGGGTTGGGCCTCTTGTGGCTATATGTGGAGCGGTGAAATGAGAAAACAATGCTGATTAAAATTAAGAGCTGAGAGAGTTGTTGTCAGTAGACTTCCTCCTGAGATAGATAGATAGAGACAGAGAGAGAGAGAGAGAGAGAGAGAGAGAGAGAGAGAGAGCAGCCTACAACCTACAATTTGCTAAAGCCCTAAGAAAAAAAGTTTGTTTTCCAAAAACATCAACTGAGTTATTAGCTTGTCTTATGTACAGAGCCATCTCATTCCAGAGCGTTGGAGCCACAAGAGAAAAAGTTCAATCACATCTCAATTTCCTCCTTGGTTTAGGAAGCACCTGCAGCATCTGGTCAGCTTGCCTGAGGGGAAATGGAGCATAGGGCTGCAGCCAGCTGAACAAATATGCTGATTTAATGACTTTAAGAGACTTAAAAACAAATAAAAGAACAATAAAATTGACCCTGAAATATATTTTTTTTTTTTTAAAGTCAGTGTAAAGATTGTAACACAGGAGAGAAGTCTCATTGCTCCTCTGTCAAAAATCATATCACCATAGTTTGGACTAGTTGAAGGTGTGACAGAGTGAACTGGGTATGTCTGTTAAAGAGAATTGCAATAATCTAGCCGAGAGACGATGAAAGCATGGATTAATGACTCCAAATCCCAGCTGGAAAAAGAAGAGGTTTAATCTTTGAGAGAGAAGCTGTGCATTTAGTGATTAATGTTACAACATGTCTAGGAAGTCTATGTTCGTCTAGGAGGGCTATGTTCTTTCTACAATAAGAAGACAAAAGGTCCTTCACAAATTAATGCTGGCAACAAGGTCTTAGGATATATCATCTGCAATTCTTTTGGGGGTTATAAGAGAGAAACTTTGCCTTTTGGTAATTAGCTGCACACTATGCTTGGCGAACAGTAAACACTGCATATCACCACAACCATGAAGCATGGTTGCACCACCATCATGTTCTGGGGATATTTCTCAGCAGCTGGCCCTGCAAGGTTTGAAAAGGAAAATCAATGGAGAAAAATATTGTTTTTTTCTTTGATTCAGTCTGTCTGAGCTACAACTTGGGAAGGGAGTTATTTCCAAGCAGAAGCAACAGTCTAAACAGCAACAGTTTGAAGACAGCCAGGTGAATTGTCCTGGAGTGGCCAAGTCAAAGGTCAATGTTGCTGATCATTTGTGGCTGAACCTGAAAACATCTATTCACCATAATCTCTGAGCAACTTAAAACAAACTGATCCATTTTGTATCAAGAATAAAGAAAAACTATCGCTTCCCAGATGCTTCATATTAACTTATTTGATAACATCCTGTAAGTATCTGTTTTTGTTTATTCAAATTCTTGTCAAAACAAAAAAAAACAAACAAAAAAAAGACAAAGAAACAAATCATTCTGACCATGAGCGTAAAACCTCCAGAGAAGGGAAAAACCTTGGATGAGATTCAAATTAATTGACAATGAAAACAAAGCAGCCGAGTTCAGTTTAACAAGCCACTTGGCAGAGATGGGTAGTAACTCATTTATTCAGTTTCATTTCATTGACTAATTCTTTGAACAAAATGTTCTTCCAGCTATAGTTGTTGCACCAAGCTTTTCGCCTCTATTTGGGTAGTAATATTTTGAGGTAACATTACCCTTACCTTGAGCAACTTTACTAAATGAGAAATAAATATGTTCTAATCAAAAAGTGCATTTGATACAAAGCAAACCGTCAATATTCATATTAAAGTGAGACTATTTGTGTGAGCACAAGTTTCATTGTCATGTTATTCTCTATCTGCTTAGCTTGCTGTGTCATTATCAAGTTGATATGCAGTAAATGATGTATATTGTCACCAGTAGCACTTTATATTGTTCTAGGATATGAACATCGCCTTCTTTAACCACTGGTTTCAAAAACTGTATGCTTTAAAAACAACTTGTTGGGAATGTTTGTTTTCTTTCTTGCCTGCCTGCCTGTTTATTTCTAGTCATTCTTTATTTTATTCTTATACCAGAATTCTGACTTTTTTTCTGCCTGATTATAAACTTTTATAAATTAAATCAGATGTTATGTTCAAAGAGTTATTCAATAGTTGAGTCACCTTCTGCATTTAGTCGTTGATTGAAGCAATCGCCCTCCACTGAGCAAACATGAGTAAAGTGCCTCATAGCAAGAAAACACTTTGGGCAGAACCCAGTTCAGGTGGTCATCCACAGATTAGGAGGTCAAAGGGCAGAGCAGATTGACAAAAAAAAAGACAGTGGCACTGATTCAATTTTCATATTAAAGAAAAATTGATTACACAAAGATAGACGTTCCATTATCTGCGTCATGATGAAGCACAGCTATCTGGAGTTTTGAGAAGAAGGATATGAAGTCCCGCTTTCAAAATAAAAATGTAAGCAAAAGTATTAAAAGTTTTGAGAACAAAAGACATGAAATCCTGCTTTCAGACTGAAAGTGTGTGCTCTTGGATTATGGAAGAAAAATTCCTCCATACAATTAAAAATATAAACGCTTAGCCAGTAGTGCATCCTACAGAAAAAAAATAATACAATGGTACTGTCACAGTAGTAGCCCCTTCTATGGGTTTGTCAGTAAAAAGAGATATAGCTAAACCCAGAAGAACAAAGTGTAACGTTCACAAATACAGTCTGAAGTTAATGAAAGTAACACCTCTGAGTCTGGCAATCCGGCCTTAATGTCTTAAAAGCTATTTTTCCTGATCCCTTCCTGTGTTTTTCAGTTCAAAGCTGTGAATCAGTGGCTTATGTTGCCCAAGGCCAACGATCGCTAAAGTGCACAGACTAGATGCATAGCAAGTGATAATTCCTTAACTTTGCCACAGTTTTAAAAGCCTTAATAAGGCTTTCAAAAGCAACCCCAGTTTCAGTAATGTGAGATCAAGTTTAATAAAGCCACAAGGGGCACATCTTCTTGCTATAAATTCAAGCTTTTATAACAACTTCACCTCCTCCACGCAGGTACTGGCCTTACGGCTCAGACGGCTGCCAGACTCATGGTTTTCAGGGCTTCATGACAGCTCTTGCCAGCCTTCACTTCATAGCAGCTATCGCTTGGGACAGATACCATCAATACTGCACGAGTAAGTTGACTCCTGGAGGTAATGATCAGTGTCAAAACCTCGCCCGTTTCTTCTCCTGTCCTGCACAGAGTCAAACAGAGCTCTGGGAAGCTAGCTTGAGATTTGTCTCAGATTGCTGTTGATAACCACGCAGAAAGTTTGTTGCCTTGTTCTTCTCTAAAATGTGATATATTTCACACGAGGATGACTATCATCTTTTGGTAACACTTTATTTGAAGGGGGTTGAATAAGACTGTCATAAACATGACATAACACCTGTCATGAACATGAATAAGCCTTCATGAATATTTATGACTGTTGTCAAAGCGTCATTCGGTAAATTATGACACTTTTAATACAAAGTTGACATTATTCAAAATGTTTTTGTTATGACAACTTGACATTAACCAAGAAATCATTGCTGATATAAATTTGTTATAAAAGTATTACTGATTGCACTTTAAAAATTAGGTAACTTTATGTTATTAAAGGTAAAGTTTAAACAGTAATGATTTCCTGGTTAATGTCAAGTTGTCATAAAGACATTTTGAATAATGTCAACTGTGTATTAAAAGTGTCATAATTTACCGAATGACGCTTTATGGCAACAGTCATAAATATTCATGAAGGCTTATTCATGTTTATGACAGTGTCATGACAGTCTTATTCAACCCCCTTCAAATAAAGTGTTACCCATCTTTTTACCTACATCAGTTAGTTCCTCTGGTATAACAGTCTCTAAAAAAATCAGTAGCCAATCAAGGGAAGTTTAAAAAGCTCAAGTCTTAAAGCATTCACAGGTTTGATGTACTTAAAACAGACGAGCTGAATCTTTCTTCATCCAGGGACGAAGCTGCAGTGGAGCACCGCTATCTCTCTGGCTGTATTTATCTGGATGTTTGCCGCGTTCTGGGCAGCCATGCCCCTCATCGGCTGGGGAGAGTATGACTACGAGCCTCTCAGGACTTGCTGCACACTAGATTACAGTAAAGGAGACAGGTGCTGGCAATGCACAACCCTTTTTTTTAATTTTCTGAAGAGAAATGTGCCTCGACCATTTTTTTAACGTGATGTACATTTAAGCAAAGACAGACTTGAGGTTCTGTACAATGAAAGTGCAGAATTGCTTAATAAGATGCCCACCAGTGATAATATATGCATATAAATGATATTGAAATGTATTATTAGATTACACAGAAGTCTTTATTTCCCTGACTGATATTTATTTCTCTTTCAACAGGAACTATGTTTCATACTTGATCCCTATGAGCATTTTCAACATGGGCATTCAGGTGTTTGTTGTCCTGTCTTCCTACCAGTCCATCGCACAAAGATTCAAAAAGACTGGAAACCCCAGGGTAAGGAATGTAATAAAACATGATCCACCTGCACTATTAGAACGTGGAGTCTTCAGTGAGAATTTAACATGCTCTGCAAGAGAAAGGATGGGGACATACACACAGAAAAGTCATATTTAAAGAGGTAGGCCAGGATTTTAGAAGTTAGATTCTGCTACAAAAAAATAAAAAAATAAAAGCAATTAACTGCAAATATATTTTACCTTTATAGTTGTAACTGATGGGTAAATAACTCTGAATTAGCTGTAATGGCTATATACCATCCATTAAAGCAAAACATCAAAAACATCATAGAGGTTTATAATTTCTGATGCTTCTTTTCCTTTTAAAGAGCATTTTTAGCACTTTTTTTTACATAAATTTTAATTTATATTAGATGGTTACATTTGAAGAAATGCCTTACCTGTTCCATTCTCAGTAAATGTTCCACACAGGAAAATTGTTTGTTGGAGCCCGATCTCCTACATTTGTTTACCTTGTCGTCATCAGCTTCTGTGTAAATAATTGCTCATTGCAAATGTGATAATCATACTAAGGTTGACAAAATAACATTCACATAAACCACCTCTGATGCCTTTGAGATTGGAATTGATGTTCTTGGCTTCCTTTGGATTAGCTGTTAGCTTCATGCCCAACTAATCTGGATTTATTCTAAGTAAGGATGAATGTAATCTACCACAGCTAAAATATTAATCAAGAAATCTATCTTCATCAGCACAGACAGAGAAGAAAGAGCATAAAATGACCTAAATCCAAAAGTTGTTTTGCAAGTAATGAAACAATAGCAACTGCTAAGTAAATCTTCACAAACAGGCACTACAGAGCTTATGTCTGTCTGCTTTGAAAATAAATCAGAGTAATCCTCAATGTCAGGCATTTTCCTCACATGGACTCTAGTCAGAGTAACAAGCTATAAAAGGCATGCAGTGTAACATATAAGGGTTGTTGCCTCAGGGGGAGACCGGGGCTTCACTGACACAAACTCTGAATATACCAGGTTGAGTAGAAGAGATCTGCATGGGTTGAATCAGGTTGCCCCAGGTTATGTTGCATAAGCCCGTTACTCACAGTTGCCTGAACTGGCAGCGGACACTCTCACTGCAAAATGTGCTAGGAGTAAAAATGAGCAAAGTCATTTTTCATCACATGCTTACTATTGTAAATTAACTTGCAACTATGACTATGGCATAGGTCTCACAAGGTTCAAAAGGTCACATGTTTCTAATTCATCCATAAGAGAAACTTATTTTGAAATGCCAAATGCAACTTTAAACCACAAAACTTTATTAAAGTCTCATGTTTAAGGTTTTTGCACTGTGAAAAAAATGCATTAAATGAAGCAAAAATGTTTAATTAGAATCATTAGATAAAGTGGAGCTGAGAATAACATCTCCATTGACACATTGACACTGGTATTACAGCAACCTCTCCCTTCACTCATTGGCTTCTTCTGATTTGTTTGGTACAATGATCTTAGCACATGCTTTTGTTCTCTCAGACATTATTCCAGGCATGTGATTATTCCAGCCTGCTAGAGGAAAATCTCATGATGAATAGCATTCTTGTCTGCATCCCCCCCACACCCCCACACACCCTGACCCTCCCAGCCCCCCTCTGCCCCTCTAGCCAAATGGCTAACAAATCACTCTTCAACTGAGGCTTTGAGTTCTCCATTTTTATGCTTTTGTTACTATTGACCTGCAGTTTAACCCCAACACTCCTCTGAAGACTTTGCTATTCTGCTGGGGGCCCTACGGTGTTCTGGCTTTCTATGCTGCTGTGGACAATGCAACCCTCGTCTCACCAAAGCTGAGGATGGTAAGATGGCGTGAGTTGTTTTGTATTTCAAATGGGATGTACTCACCAAGTAGACTTTTAATCTGAAAAGTCATAACTCTAATTCAGGGGTCTTGATGAGCCTTTTTTTTTTACCCTGAAACTTTAGAGCCACCAAAATTGCCTGGCCTTTTGAAAAAAACAAAACAAAACAAAACAAAAAAAAAGACGACAACTTACAGTTTTTGATAAATATCTACCATAGGAAATTGTAGTCATTAAAACACATACAGCACACAATTTAAGTTTTGGTTTTTAATTTTTAATGCAAAGAGAAACAGATTTTTTTTTTATTGTTTTTGCAGAAAGAGGATAAATAAATTTTTAAGGGGATGTTGATGTTTGGGAAAAATTGTGTGAAAACACAAAAAAAAAAAAAAAAAACACTTGTAGTTTTCAACCTGGAGACAAGAAAAATATAACTAAAAATATGCTTTCAGTGTCAGTCTGTTGTAGAAATTCAGTGACGTTATTCCATGAAAAAAGCTGACACATTGCTAAAATTTGCATTTGTTTTTGTGTCTATATTCAAAACTTTAGTTTGCTCCAATGCTATTAAGACCAATATCCAAAGAGCCACCTGCAACCTAATCCATGGAATCAACCTAAAATATAGAATCTGAGTGAATTCTATAGTTTTTCTTCAATTATTTCTTCATCTAAAGCATCTATGAAAACCAAGCAATTACATTTTTTTGCACATATGCACAACAAATGACCACACCACACTTCCTCGGCTCTGATATTCGTGTTCCGTTTGTCTCCACAGATCGCTCCTATCCTGGCTAAGACTTCGCCCACCTTTAATCCTCTTCTGTACGCTCTGGGAAATGAGAACTACAGAGGAGGCATTTGGCAGCTTCTAACCGGGGAAAAGATTGCTGTGCCTCAAATTGATAATAAGTCCAAATAAACTGCTTACTGTTGTAGATGTTTCTGTCTGTGGGAGTCTGTACTGTAACAATGTGTCGTAAGCAGCGTGAACGTCTGCGTCTCGTATGCTTTACATCTGCTCTGGGTTTGCTCCTGCATCACCTCTGCCACTGTGTTTATGTGAAGCTGGCAATGTTCTAAAAATATATCATAT